ATGTGAATTGATAAGTGGATAATGTGGACAGCCTGACTAGATATCCTGAGAAATGGTGGACGGACCGGGTCCGTAGGGAACCCTACCGGGAACGTGGTCTCTCATACCGGACGAGGTATGGAGACCTTATGTGTTTTGGCGCCCATACCAGACGGGGTATGGGGACGACCCGTTTCACCCTCATACCGGACGGGGTATTAAGGTTCATGGTTTTGGCGCCCATACCGAACGGGGTATGGGGACGGCCCTGGAATCAGGTTATAAATGTTAATGGTTCACGTGTAGAATGGACCCCCTATGGATCCCCAGGGATACTAGTAGGCTGGTAAAAGAGGAAATCTGTTTTCTGATGATTGAAATGTAAAGGTATGATATGTGTTTATGTTATAAAGTGTGTATAATTTCATAATATTACAAGGTTATTGTTTTCATATGTTGTTTTCATGGATCTCGCTGAGGTAAGTGGACAGTAAATGATTTTATTATTGATAAAAGAATTTGTTATAAATTATGCTCCATTGGTCATTTTGTTTTCTACCCAACTTTACTTCCGTGGCGATGAGATAGTGTGATGTCTTTACTGGGCTGGTGTAGTTCATTCCTTATTTAACTATTTCATATCAGGAAGACATTGTTTCCGAGCCCGTTCTGCAGGAAGACAGCGAAAGGGACGCCTAAAGACTCCATAGCTATATTTATAGTTATTATTTCGAGTATCTCTTTTAGTTAGTTTGTTCTTTCATGTTTTGAGTTCGTTTTAGTTATTGTGTAAGGGATGCTAATCAAAATTTTTATTATATTTCCGCATTTGACATTTTTAATACATATATTTCATTTAAATTTCTGGGGCCGTTACATTACTAATTTAAATTCGAGTATGAATGTAGGATATATTATACCTAAAGTCTTCACAAATAGATCTTGCATTCGAAAAATGGAGAACTGACAACCTAATGGTAAAAAAATGGCTAATCAATTTTATAGATCCAAAGGTAGCGAATAATTTTATTAGATTTGTAACGACTAACTCGTTGATACATTACAAATATATAATCTTAAAAAAAAGAATAACCACTTGAAATAAAGAGGATCTATTGAGACATGCGGCAACACTACAAGGATTGCCGGAAGAATTCAATTAAAAAGCTGGCAATAACTTAAAAAAGAACATTTTTATTGAAATTTATTTGTACACTTAGACATATTCAATTAAAATTTATAAAAAGTTATAAAATGATAAAATTTGACTTCGTATAAAATAAAACAATTTGCATCAAATTTTATAAATTAAAGAATAGTATATTCTAAATTTTATCAATTTAAATCAATTGATCATTCTTTTTTTTTAATATAAAAAAAAAAGAGCAAATCCCGCAAGTATCTACTTAAAGATTGTATGAGTCACAATTTTGTAACTATATAGTTAAAAAATGAATTGAAACTTATCTAATTTAAGTTTCTATTAAATTGCACTAACTGTGTAATTAAAAATGTCTAAGCATGTGTCACAAATATACTAAAAAATCTATATGTCATAATTTTTATTAACTACTTGATTGAAAAATTAATTGAAAATAAAACTACCCAACTAAAATTTCCACGGTCTTTCTAATAAAATTATATCATAAGATTTCCATATTTTGCAATTTTATTGGGTGTTTCTTTGAAATTTGTATTAAACTTAAAGCTATTTGATTAAAAAAAAAAATTTCTTAAATTGTATTAAATTTAAAAATGCACTAATCTTACTAATTATTTAATTAAAAATAACTATCACCGTCTAGTTGAAAATTAAAGTCCAAGCGTTGCAATTGTTTTAAAACTTTAACCTATCACAGTTTTTACTAATTTTCTAATTAACAAAGTTTAGTAAAATAATTTATTTAATGAAAAAAAAAAATTCTATTAACATTTTTAATGAAAAGTTCTGCTAAAGTTTGGAAATGTCCAACCGAATTAAAATTATCTAATTTAAAATAATGTTAGATATTTCATTAAAATAGTATTAAATTATAAAACTATTTGATATCATATCATAAATATATCATTAGTTGCTACGTGGGTTTTATCTAATTGAATTTTCAACAGTTTTAACTTTTTTTTTTTTTTTCAATCCTTTTCTAATAAAATTTTTGTTTCCTACCCCAAATCGAGTGTTAATTTTCAAAATAAAATTTGAATTTGTTAACAAAAGTTCCATAAGGTCAGAATTGAAGAAATTCTTTTCTATATATATATATATATTAAAAGAATATCTCGTAAATGAAATATTTTTAAAGGACAAATCTCTAAAATCACATTGCCTACGGAAGAAGGTATAAAAAACCAATTTATAATTATGATTAATCAAATTTTATTATTTTTTCAGAAGAGATTTTTCATCGATTTCTTGAATTTCCAAAGTTTGTGTGATGAAATGATATTCATATTTCGTGCATCACCAAATGATTGCATTAATTTGGTGCCAAAATCCTCATTGCTTCTGGACCAGGCAATATACAGATCCTATCCCATGCAATATTAATTATTTTTATTATTATTTTTTAAATTCTAAAGAGCAAACAAATGGGATATTGAAGGAGTATTTATGATTCATTCAATTTTTAGGCCACCATAAAAATTCCTTGTGTGTATAATACAATTTTCTCCAAGAAAAATTGAGTCAACGGTTGACTATGTACAACACACACACATATATATATATATATAAACATATAAATAAATAAGGGGGACCATATTTATATATGTTGTCAATTTATGTTGTCAGAAGTATTAGTGCCTCTCCCTTGAGGCAAAATTAAAAGCTACCTTTTACTTGGACCCATCTTATTTATACATTTTCTTATCCAATCATCCCCACACTATGTTTATGCAATTTTATGAATGTGATTCAACTAACTCTAACAAAAATTAAAAATTAAATCACTTACGTAACGAGTTGTATTTTTTATTTTAATTATTCGAGTTCCTTTCTTATTATTAATGTTTTAAAAAATAGAATTTTCGATGTGTTTTAAAATTTTTCCAAAAAAATTTAAATTCTATACCATAAAATTGACTTAAAAAGTATATATATATATTTTTTCTAAAAACTAGATATTTTTCTTTCTTTACGTAGTAGTATTTTTGTAATAATATAGGTAAAGATATTTAAACATTATGTATAGTGTATCTTGATTAGCTTAATTTAATTGAGAAAGTGATAAAACGTTGACATATATATGTATATATAAAAATAAAATAAAGACAACTTATATGGATTAATGTTGCGTCACTATTCATATAAATGTTGATATATACATGTGTGTGGGTAAATTATATGATGTTTCACAATCTTAAGGTCCAATATCATATCAAAATGATGAAATTAAGGAAATA